GCAATAGCAAATTCCTTCTGAAGAAACTTGCCAAGAGAACTCCATGATAGGTTTGCCTTAGGGTCTCCATAAGTCGGAAACGCCTTGAATGCACGCAACAACAACAAACATAAGAAACAAGTGATTTGAGCAGGGGTAGGCAACCTTTCCCCTTTAAGGGCCGAGGGACTTCAGCTCCCAGAATCCCAGGAGCTATTGGCCAACATGGGACTATTGGCCAACATGGCTGAGGCTTCTGGGAGCTGAAGTCCCTCGGCCCTTAAAGGGGAAAGGTTGCCTACCCCTGGATTTGAGTGTTGGACGATGACTTTGGAGATCAGGGTTCGAATCCCACTCGGCCATGGAAACCTGCTGGGTGGCTCTGGGTGAGTCACATACTCAGCTGCAGAGAACCCTATGATAAGTTTGCCTTAGGAAGGCACGCAATAACAAATAAGAGACCTTATTTTACTACTCCATTGTGTTTAATCGGACTGGAGCATCCATGGGTTTTGGTACCCACGGGGGTTATTGTAACCTCAAGGGTCCATTGTAACAACAATGACAACAACAACATACCTCATTGTATTTAATGGGACGTGAGCATCCATGGATTTTGGTACCCACCAGGATTATTGGAACCAAACCCCAATGGATACCAAGGGCTCACTGCAATAATAAAAAACCTCCCAGAGAGTTCAGGATCTGGGATGCTGGGAGTTTTTGTCCCTAAAAGCACCTTCTTTCCATTCTGAAGCATGGGGCACAATCCCTCCTTCCACCTGTTTGCATCCTTTTACAGTACTCCTCTTCTTTCTCTTTGCAGGAGCAAGAGCAACAAGTGTGCAAGGCGTGCCCAAGGGTGCCCTCGCCCGTGTCTCTTTGTTTATCTGGGCTTCTTGCCTGCCTTTCCCATAAAAGCCAGGAAAAGGCCAAGCCTGGCAAACAAAGACATCCGTGCCAAGAAGCCAAAGCGGACGCCGGTTACCAGGCGACTCAGGACAGGAGCCAGGAGAGAAGGAGAGGAAGAGGATTGCACAAAACAACCTGTGCAGACTTTCTCAGTGACAACTGTCACCCTTTCTACCACAATCCAATGTTGCTTGGCCACCTGTGTCCTGGTTTTCATCTGTGAAATGTTGGAAAGGGTGTGCAATGGTGCAACCCTTTGCGGTGCAAAATATTTGTGCATTTGTCCTCCATTTGCTCACTCTTGCCCTTGGCGGAGAAGGAAGAGCCTCTTGCAGCCGACTCAATTCCAGAGTCGTTTTCAGGCCTTGCTTTCCAGTAGCGGGTAGTTCCAAAGGCAAAAGGGGCCACCAGGAGATTTTATTTTTGTCCTCTTGCTGTCAGTGGAGTCAAGCCAGAGTAAATCTGACTGCCGGGAGACGCAGCGGGGTTCTTCTTGTACGTTCCACCTGTTTAATAATAATAATAATAATAATAAGCATGCAACTAATAAGGACATGTTGTTTTGCAGAAACGGAAGGCACGATGTTGATGTTTTGATCACCATTCCTGGTTTTGAAAACTGAACTTACTGGCATAGCCTCCCTCCTCCACGGAGGATAAATATGGAACGAATGCAAGGTTGGCGTGTAGATATAAATTCCCAGATTTGCTCTCTTTAACTCCTTTGGGACTGCTAAGAGATCAGTTCCTGGCTCACCTTGCTCACAAAAGGGAACTAACTGTTTTCAGAGATGAGCATTTGTGAATTCAACATTGTTTGTACGCGCTTGAATGACACAAAGCTCGTTGGTTGTAATGAGGGACTGACTACAAGTTCATTTGTGGAAGCAGCCATATGTTATGCTGCTGTTATGCGCCTTCATGCAAACTCTGACTTATAGTGACTCTCTATCCTAGGGTTTTCTTGGTGAGATTTATTATTCAGAGGAGTGTTGCCATTGCTTCCCTCTGAGGCTGAGAGAGTGTGACTTGTCCGAGGTCACCCAGTGAGTTTTCATGGCTGAGCAGGGACTTGAACTCTGGTCTGAGGTTCTAGTCCAACACTCAAACCTTTGCACTGTGCTGGCTTTCCACACCTCTAATGTCGTTTTACTACTGCATTAATACTGACTCAGGCTGCATCCTCAGTGCAGAATTAATGCAGCTTGACACCGCTTTAACTGCCATGGCTCAATACTTGACACTGCTTTAACTGCCATGGTTTGTAGTAGTTTGGGGAGATATTTGGCCTTCTCAGTCTGATGCCATGATAAACTACAAATCCCAAGATTTCATAGCATGGAGCCACGGCAGTTAAAGCGGATCCAAACTGCATGAATTCTGCAGTGAGGATGCAGTGCAGCATCAGTCAGCGGATCCAAAGAAGTGGATTAAAATGAATGCAAAATAAGTCTTAAAGGTTTGGCTGGATTCCTCTTTCCCTCTTGTCTTTTATGAAGGAAGGAAGGAAGGAAGGAAGGAAGAAAGACAGACTGGGGGCGGCATCAGAGGGGTTTGCAATTAAATGGGGGGCTGATTAGGAGAAAGTGGTAACCAGGGCAATAAATAAGGCAGTGAGTCACATCCCATGCCAGGGTGCCTTCCTCCAAGCAGGATGTTTGAGCAACGCAAACGGCACACGGTCCAGGCGGACGTCACGCGCGGAGGACATATTCCTCTTGAACCGTTTAATATTCATTTTGATTATCCCTCAGGACAAAGGGCAGGGACGGGGTGACCATGGCACCCGCATGCGGACGAAGGGGTGACTCAGTCTGAGAGCTGGAAATGCAAACAGAGAGAGAGAGACTCTGATGCTTGACCCAGGCTAGTCCTTAAAGGGGACACCTAAGAGTTGAGGCCCACCTGGATGAGCACAAGGTGGCCCCAGGTTTCCCTGCTGTTTTTCCACGGCTGCCCAGATAACCAGCCATCAGTGGGGAAATTGCCAAGTTTTGCAGCTAAGTACAATAGCATCCAAAATCCACAGAACGGTGATACCTTTATGGGGCCAACCCAAATGCACAAAATGCATCATGCAAGCCTTCGAAGCTCCACAGGCTTCTTCGTCAGGGAAAGGTGTTTTTAAAGAAAGAAGGAAATATTGCCTACCGTGGTACAATAATATCCCAAATCCACAAAATGGTGATACCTTTATGGGGTCAACCCAAATGTCCACAATGCACATCATGCAAACTTTTGAAGTGCCACTGGCTTCTTTGTCAGGGCAAGGTGTTTTTAAAGAAAGAAGGAAATATTGTCCCCTACAGTACAATAATATCCCAAATCCACAAAATGGTGATACCTTTATGAGGCCAACCCAAATGCACCCAAGCACTCAGGAGAAAGAAAAATATGACAGTGCAAGAGTCACCGGCCTCCATTTGTCAAGATGCTATTGTTCCCAGTGAGTTTCCATGACTGAGCGAGAATTCGAACCCTGGTCTCTAGAGTCATAGTCCAACCCTCAAACCACTATGTCATGCTGGCCTTCATATCTTAACTGTTTTAATCTGCTTTAATTTGTTTTAATCTATTGCAAACTGCTTTGGTTCCTTGCTGGGAGAAAGACAGAATATAAAGAAAAGAAAAGAAGATTTACCCCCCTTTTATTTTTAAATTTCTATTTCTGGTGGCTTTGTTCCCATTATTGCAAGACTCATAGGACAGACAGTGAATATTTTAAATAAAGGATATGTTCTGTTCAGTCATCTCACACTCCTGCAATAGCAATGTACAAAATGTTCTAGCTTCTTTTGCAGCTGCAAAGGCGTAATGATATATATATATATATATATATATATATATATATATATATATATTCCTCTGGCAACTTGTCCTTATCTTGTCAGTGCTAAAGGAGGTTCAAGTGGGTGAATAAGAGGCTGTTTGGGCAATAAGAGCTGGTCCTGTATTTCGGGAAGTGACCGTGAGGCCGAGACGTTGAGACAGGAACGGATATTAATAACTTCAGCCGGAAAATGATGTAAAGGGAATCTGAGCTCTTTTTTTCCCTGGTCCTGACCATTTGATCCTGAGGTTTGCTGGACTGGGTTGTGCTTTTTTTCTCATGCAGTTCTTGAGAATGATTTACAGCCCTCTTGTCTGGAAAAATGGCAATGAAAAGAAGCATAAATCAAACCAGCCCTTTCCACAGAAGTGAATAGGGTTTTCATTGCTTTAGAAATCCCTGGGAATTTTTTGCCTCGCCCTTTGCAAAATTGGCCAGGAAACTACAAAGGTCAGTTCAAACTAGGAAGACTTCAGGTCTTGGGGAAATGTGATATATTTGGCGTGCAAATCCCACAATCCACAAGTCAGCATGGCCAAAGGGAAAAGAGATGTAGAGAGTTGGATTTTGTGGCACAGTTGCAATGGAAACCTATCCAAAAGATTTTGGGTCTGTTTATCCTTCATCTTGTTGAACGAGGAAAATAACCTCTCTTTGAACACGTATGTCTGTATGTGACTCTCAGTTTATGGTGATCCCATTAATTTCTTTGGGTTTTCTCAGGCAAGGAAGAACCAGAGGTGGTTTTTCCCAATTCCTTCCTCTGAAACAGAGCCTATAGCACCTGGGATTCGTTGGCAGGTCTCCCATCCAAGTAATAACCAGGTCTGACTCTGCTGTAGCTTCCAAATTCGAAAGGATCTGGTGCTTTTAGAGTATTTAGGCCATTGTGTATATGTCTGTTTTGTGTTTATGTGCCTTCAAGTCACCTGCCGATTTATGGCGATCCCATGAATTTCATGGGGTTTTCTTAAAGAAGGGATGCTTCTGAAATATAGCCTACTACACTTGGGATTCATTGACGGTCTCCCATCCAAGGACTAACCAGGTCTCAGCTAGCTTAGCTTCCAAGATCAGATGGGATCTGATGCCTTTAGGATCTTTGTGTATGTGCAAGTCCCTTAAAGTTGCCTGTCCACTTATTGTGACCCCATGAATTTCATAGGGTTTTCTTAGGCCAGGAATCCTCAGAGGTGGTTTTGCCACTTCCTTCCTCTGAAATAGAGCCTTTGATCTTCCTTGGTGGTTTCCCATCCAAAGACTAACCAGGGCTGACCCTGCTTAGCTTTGAAGATCAGGTCGGATCTGGTGCCTTGTGTGCGTATGTACCTTCAAATTACCTGTTGACCTATGGTGACCCTATTCATTTCCTAGGAATACTCAAGAGGTGGTTTTGCCAGTTCCTTCCTCTGAAATAGAGTCTAACAGCACCAGCTATTTGTTGGTGGTTTCTCATCCAAGGACTAACCAGGTCTGACCCTGCTTAGCTTCCAAGATCAGACAGGATCTGGTGCCTTTAGGTTGTGTGTATGTGTGGTCAAATCATGGGTTGACTTATGGAGGTCCCACAAATTTTCTAGGGTTTTCTTAGGCAAGGAATCCTGAGAGGTGGTTTTGCCAGTTCTTTCCTCTGAAATGTAGCCTACAGCAGCTGGGATTCATTGGTGGGCTCCCAGCCAAGTACTGACCGGAGCTGACCCTGCTTAGCTTCCAAGATCAGTTCATAGAGTCATCAGTTTTGTAGGGTTTTCCTAGGCCAGGAAGACTCAGAGGTGCTTTGGCCAGTTCCTTCCTCTGAAATAGAGCCTAACAGCACCAGCTATTTGTTGGTGGTCTCACATCAGCTTATTTATCTCTTTAAATATATCAGAGGTTTGTCTTAATCTGTAAAATGTTGAAGGGCAACCATGGCTAAATATCCTCAAGCGAGGCACCAGATCCCCTCTGATCTTGGAATCCAAGCAAGCTTGCTTCCTTCCTTTGTTAAATCTAAGCAAATGCCTTTTGAATCAAGATGGTGGACTGTGAAGTTCTCATAAAAAGGCAAAGTCAGTTCTCTTTCCCGTAAGTCTAACATCTGCCAACATCTGCCCCGAGCTGGAACCACCGGTGCCAAATTCCCCCAGCATTTCCTGGGGAAATCCCAATGGCTTCCTACTCCCTCTATCCACCTTCTGGCCCTTATTAAATTTCAGGAAAAGGGAAGGAAGAGAGAAGAAGTCTCTCCAGACGTGTATCGTTTGCATTTCCCGACAGCCTCCTAAAACAAATATTTGCAATGCATGGAAAATCCCACAGATAAGATTCAGGTGAGGAGGGGAAATAATAATAATAATAATGATAATAACCATTCTCTGTTGCTTGAAGGATTTGCATGCAGACCGTTCAACGGCCGTCTCCAATTTCCCTTGAGGCTTTGTGTTTCCACTTAATGTAATTATAAGAGGTGATGCTGCGGTTATCACGGAGCCCAGAGTCCGGCAAGCTGTTTGGAGAGATAAGACCACGATGGGTTGCATTCGTGTAAACAGTCGAGATCGTCGCTTTGGCTTCTGTTAATCCCTCACGTCTCTCCTGCTATAATTCAATTGCTCCAGCCTCCATGAGCGATGATGGCAACTACATAACCATGTTTGGCACATGGAGAGATGCTCCGACGGTGGGGTGAGCAGGTTCATAAGCAGAGATTGATAATATGAAATGAATATGAAAAGGCAGGGTGAGGGCACTCATCTGTGAGCATCCCTTTCCCCTACAACTGGCAGGAACCTGGGAGCCATTTCCACCAGCAATGGCCAGGACGGAGCTTTTGGAGAGTAATTTAAGTTTCCTAAGGCTTCAGCCTTTCTCTGTTGTTGTTGTTAACTGCCCTTGAGTCAATCCGGACCCATGGGGACCCCATGGATGAGACCTCTCCAAGAAGACCTTCTGTCCTCCATTGCTCTGCTTAAATCCTGCAACCCCTTCATTCATACCCAAAGTGACCTCCTTCATAATAGAGTCCCTCCATCTGTCCTGTGGCCTTTCTCTCTTCCTACTTCCCTCCACTTTTCCCAGCATTAATGTTTTTTCCAAAGAGTCCTCTCTTCTCTTCTCATGATGTGTCCAAAGTACGACAGCCTCAGTTTGGTCATCTTGGCTTCTTCCAGGGAGGTTTCCATCTTGATCTGCTCTAGGACCCCTTGGTTTGTCCTTTTGGCTCTCCATGGGATCCTCCTCAGCCCTCTTCTCCAGAAACACATTCTCTCAAATGCATTGGTTTTCCTCTTATCTTCTTTCTTAACTGTCCAGCTCTCACATCCATCCATGGGAATAATAGGGAATAAAATGGCTTGTATGAGTCTGACTTTTGTACTGAGTTGTATGTCTTTGCATTTTAGGATCTCTTCTAGTTCATTCATAGCCTCCCTCCCCATTCTTAGTCTTCTTCTGATTTCCTGGCTGCAGTCCCTGTTTCTATCAATGTTTGATCCCAGATATGAGAACACCTTTACTATTTCTATTTCCTCATTGTCTAGTTTGAGTTTATGTAAGTTCTCCATAGCCATTATGATTTTTTCTTCATATTCAACATTAAGCCTGCCTTTGCGCTTTCTTCCTTGATCTCCCTTGATTTTGGGCAAGGTTTTGCTTGCAGGGGAGATCAGTGCTATGGTCCTATAGTTGCTGCAGTCTCTTGTGTCTCCCTTTTTGTGGATGGGGATGTATATCTTTCTTTCTTAAGGAAACAAAAATATTGAATATCAAAAAATATCAAAGCCAAGCCTTTTAGGGTCTAGCTTTAAAATCAGCAGAGTAGCAGAAAGGTGCCTTTCTCTATCTGTGCTTCTCTAAGAACTGAGACTGATTCACAAACAACACAAGTCGCTTGTGGTTCAAACAAAAGTTTACTAATGGCTTTAATCTATAAATAAAATTTATATCCTAATCTAGCTAGTGAATGGTTCAGGCAAAAAGAAAGCCTTCTCAAGATGTGGCCAAAGTACGAAAGCCTCAGTTTGACCGTCTTGGAGATTTCTGGCTTTTTCTGCTCAAAGACCCATTTGTTTGTTTGCTGGAGGCTCTATTTCAGAGGAAGGAACTGGCAAAACGGGCGCCTCTGAGTCTTCCTTGCCTAAGAAAACCCTACGAAATTCATGGAGTCACCATAATTCAGTAGGAAACTTGAAGGCACATATATAAACACAGGGGTTGCCACGGCTGGTGTGAATTCAAACTCTGATCTCCTAAAGTCCTGCTCCAGCACTCACGCCATTACACAACCTTTCCTCCCAAAACAACCCTTCTCTATAATAAAAATCTCAGGATTCCCACGGAGGCTGCCATGACAGTTAAAGTGGAATTGTGAGTGCTATAGCTGCATAGTGTGTGGATGGTCCCTTGGTTATTATTATTATTATTATTATTATTATTATTGGTTTGCCCTTTTAATCTGGCTTGCTCTCTGGCTCCGAGGTCTGCTTCTGCTTTTGGCCTCCTGGCTCTTTCCTTATGGGGACTTGTTGCCTTTTCTGGAGTCTTTCCTCCTTTTCTGCACAATCGCTCCATCCTTGCTAGATAACCTCCAGGAGGAAGGAAAAGCCAAAATACTTGGGGATGGCTGCAACTGGAGCCGACAAAAGGACAAATTTAATAATGGTATGTCCCGGGCATGGAGACTGGGACTAATCTCCCTTATTTATATTTCCACTCGGTGGAA